TGATGATCATAGAAAAAATGCCCTATATATAAAAAATATTTGATTTCGGTCCATATTATGTAGGTGCATTTATCATGTAGTGTTTTATATGATTGATTTTGTCTTAACTAACACTTAATGAAACGTGTAACTCGTATGAATATCATGTTATAGTTGCAGAAGCATGTTTAACATATTTCGCTTATATTGAGTGTGGATGTAAAAACCCAGAACTTAAGGAAATGGAAATATCGATTTATATCAACTATAAGTGGAAGGAATTTAGAATTTAGGGTTTATATTCCTTACACAGTAAATCAGAATACTCAATATGGTTACGGAAATGTCTTTTTATAGAAGTTCAAAATAATGGAATAAATAATTAAAATAAAAGGAAGTAAAAATCCTATGGGGTTAATTTCTGCTGAGCAACTCTGATGGGTCCGGGAGGTAACATTTATTCACAACCCTCATGCTGTTCAAGATATAGATATTGGTCTTCTTAATCTGAAATGGTTATATAAGGGAATGAGCCATATTAGTGCAGTAAGAATATCACATTTAACACTGACACAGAAAACCAAATGTTGGTAAAAAAAACATAAAACAACCGATGAAGTCATTTTCTTTTTTAAATAAATTTATTCAATATAAAAACAAAAGTTTCATATTTACTCTTATGAGCTTCCAAAACCTACCTGTGAAGATGATAACTCAAATAATATTTTGATTTCTTTTTCAAACGAGCAATAATAATAAACTTACCTGTTTACCAATACTCTTGGGGTCCATAAGGATATTTTCCTACACGTGAACCTAATATCTAATTTCTAGATTAACCGGTCATCCCCATACCACGTTCGGTAATGGGCACCATACATGCGACTGCATCAATACCCTGTCTGATATGAGGGTGAACTATACCTCTCAACCTCTTCCAGTATGAGACTTCTTAACCCCGTTCGACTGATGTAATGTTCATAGTAGGGTTTTTCCTATGTACCGGGTCCATCCACCCTTTCTCAAGGTAACTAGTAAGTCTTTCATACATAAATTCACATCATCAACCAATCACTAATCACATACCAACATCTCATTTTTAACTAATCAACAGCAAGTCATGTAAATAGACAACACGTAAATCAAGAAAATACGATTAGGATATTTATTTAAATCAATCAATAAATAGAGATATAGTGGTTATATAAACTAATAATTAAAAATATAATTAAAATCAATAAATTAAAGCACATGATGCAAACAGTAAGTGATTAAGATAATATAAAAATAAATAGACAACACAGATAAACTATATACTGGCCAGTTCAGCCTCCACTGGTGACTTATAATTAATTTTTTGGTTTCTCTAATTTTTACAAAACACAATGTTAAGAGTGAGAGATTTTTACCCCGAATCTGTGTCCAAAAACACTATACTTTTCACTGCATCTCTTGGCGGTCCTCGGGTTTTCCGAATTTTTCTTACAAAAATTAAAAATATGCGTCATGTATCTAAAAATACCTCAAAAGGCCAAAATATATGTTTTTAAACTTTTTCGGCCAATTTAGGTTTCCAGCACGGCGACACCGTCATGCTCCAGCAACGGTTCCTCTCAGTCTTGCCATTTTTGGCCGGTTTAGGCCGATCTTGGCCAATTTTGCATGAAACCTACGGAAAACCAAGATAGATGGCCTATGTCGGCCGGAAAAGAGGAAAACTGAAACCCTACTACCAAAAGGGTCTTCGAGTACGGTAGCTTCGTCGTTTCTCCTTTGCGATCAGGGTGTTTCCTTAGCTAACCTACATAAGAACGAAAAGAGGAGCACAATGGCCAAAAAATCGTGGAAAATAGGAAACGGGAAGGGGCTCATCAGATGAGGTTTCGGATTTCAGCTGCGGCAGCTCGATCGAGCTTCATTCATGTTTTCCAGCTCACCCGTCAGCTTTTCGGCTCTAATATGGGAATAGAGAGATTCAGGATTAAATTCTGAGCGGAGGGGAGGAAAATCTTACTTTTTTAGCGTCAGTGTTGGCTCCAGTGCAGCAGCAATGGTGGCCGATCTCCTTCTCCAGCGTCTGGTTCACTTCCCATCCGCCCTTCTTCTTCTTCTCTGATCACCCCTCCGTCGGTTAGGGTTTTGGTTTCCTACCAAAAAGAGTTTAAGTACTCCTCTCCATTAAATCTGGGTTGTCCGTTCGACACGACGTGGTCCATCCGTAACTGTTTGATCTCTCTTTTTTGAAAAATTAATTTAGACCGCACAGTCTGATCAAATCCAACCGTTCAATTGTGCCTGAAGAGGAAACACATATGGATCGTCCGTGCGTGCAGGATGCGATATGGGCAGTTGGATTGCTGCCACACGGATTGCCTGAGTGGTCTCCCGCATGAAACCAATGTCAGTGTGTTCGCCACGAGGTGCGTTCTAACTTGTCGTTGCTACTGACGTGGTCGTCCCACGTGATCGTTTTTTTTTTTTGCGATTTTACCCACTGTTTTAAATTTTTCTTTCAAATACTCTCTATTATTCACAGTTTCACCTTTTTTTAAAAAAATATTTTCAATATCTTCTCTAAATCCATTTTTTTCTAAAAAATTTCATAAAAATGAAATAAAATAATAAATTAAAATACTTTAATATATTATTTTATTAATATAAAATTATCTCGGACCGAATGTTACAATAGAAGTGATACTACTTCCGGTCAATGTGGGGCTTCTTTATTGGAGGAAGATCTAATCTTAATCATAATCAATGTAAGTTTTTATTTAAGAAACATTCAATCTAAGTGAAAAGTAATTAAAAGTGGAGGATAACTATTAGAAATTATAAATTGTACCAATTATTGATTTTCATCATTTGGGTTATTTATGATGTTTAATTGTGAAGAAAGACATATACACTAAGAGTATGAACTATTGACAGTAAATACTTTAGATACAGCGACGCTTCCATTATATAGTGTATAATTTGAGTTTAAATTATATTTCTTATTTCAATACGATTATTTAATAAAACACAATAAAAAAGTAAGATTATTAAAACAAAACAAAAAAAAAAACCAGTCTTGAAAATTTAATTTCTTAAAATCTCTCAATAATTTACTATGCATATTATTCACAATTTCGGCTTTTGGATTCATTTTGTCTTTTGGTTTTTGGGTTCAGATGTGACAATACCAAATATTATCCATCTAAGAACGCGGTTTTGCTAAACTACTTAAAATTATTACATGTACTTGCGAGCAACTAACTCTTTGTTTGACCAAAATTAATTAATTAATTAATATTTTACTCCTAAAATAACTTTTGAATTTATTATTTTACCAATTCGTGATGGAAAGCTTCACGCTTATTACGTAATTTTTACTAATAATATATATATATATTCTTTTTAATTTTACAAGAGATTTATCGGATACTTTATTTAGTTAATTATCTCCCTATTTAAGTTCATTGGCAAGTTTAAGAATATTTTTGTCATAAAAAATAGGTATTTTGTTCAAAATATAAAATTTCTGGAAATATTTAATTTAAAAATTATTTTTTAAAAAAAATTTTCTCTTGAAGAGCAATTAAATATAATTTTTGTTTTTTATTATTTTCATTCTCTTAAATTTATTTTTATAGAAATACCTTTATTTTTTAATAATTTAATGCAATTAATGTTTCTTTTTTTTTTTCCTCCTTTAATTTAAGAAATAAAAAGTATCTGATTAGGAAAAGGAAACCCGGATCAGAGTGGTGATAGAGATGTTACAAATCCAAGCTCGAAATAGTCCAACCCACAATCACAATCTGATCTGGTTGGATCCAGTAAGCCCCAGAGTACGGGGGGTACTGTGTACGAGCAAATTGTGAGCCAGTGGCAATTTCGCAATTTTCCTTACGAATGAAGGGCTTTCTGGTAAACTCAATGGGAATGAGATCCGTGCCTTGTCGCGATGTCATTATCGCAAAGATATGCGATTGTGATTTTGAGTCTTGTAGACTCTCCTCCTTCTTTGATTATTTTATTGCATTTATTCTTATTTTAAAAAAATAATTTTTTCTACCTATTTTTATTTTAAAAAAGAGAGAGAGAGAGAGACGAAAACGAGAAGAGAAAAGAGGAAAACAATTCATAATTCAAAGGAATCAAGAACACAATCAACTCACATGTTGAAGTTTGAAGCAGCAATTAGGGTCCTTTGAATTTCATATCAAATTTCAAATCTTTTATACTCCAAATTTGTTTATACTTAAATATACCCACTTGTCAAACCTGAAAAAGGGCCAGTCTTTTATGTATTTATACATCATGAACTTGAAGAAACGAGAAAAAAGCTAAACTTGATCTCAACTTGTTCAAAGTTGAGATCAAAACCCATGAAGAAAACAAGAGAGAGTGAGAGATGGGGAGACAAAATATGGTG